CTGGGAAACTCACTGGCAAAGTAAATTAATTCTATTTTTGGTAGAGTCCGTTTTGCTTTACAGGAGAGGTACCGTGGAATGCGGCTAGCTCTTTCGGCGTATATAGTGGAATCCGGATTCAGTTTTTAAATCTCTGATAGAAACTCGGGTAGTTCGAGAAATCGGGGAGAACATTTCAGTGTTCGAAGGAGGGGAGAGAAATATCTTTTGGTTCGAGTTATCCAGAGGTTCGAACAATCGAGGGATCGAAAAATCGCGGTTCCACTGTAACTCCATAATCAAGAGTGAAGACTGTTATCCTGCTCTTAGCTTGAACTCTTCGACAAAGCCTCACTCCTTGGCTTAGGGCATATTGTATACTGATTCGTGTAAACGTCTGGGCAAGCCTAGTGGCGGAGGAGGGAGAAGGTACAAACTTCGATGGACTTCGCAACAACAGGAGTAATACTCCTTGGCAATTGGTCCAGATAACTCGCCACTACCCAGTAATTATTTTTAGGTCGACGTCGTAATTGATTAGCGTAAGAAGAGGAGGCGGCGGGGGACATTTATCTTGATATTTCGACCATGAGTGTAGCCCTAGGGCACTATCGTCGTCGTCGTCATCATCATCATCATCTCTTACCTGTCCCATCCTACAACGATAATGATCCTTTTTAAACACAGCACTTGGCTGATCTCTGCTGGGTCGCCATTACCAGCCATCAAGATATGGTGACAGTGACCATTAAAATCCCAGATCTGGAACAAATAATGCAACAAAAAAAATTCAGCGAAAAAGGAAAGCGACAAAAACAGCTAAAATGGAATAACTCTACCTTGACTGTCCCATCAGCACTGGCTGTAAAGAGCCTCGTTTCTGTGGCATCCTGGGCTAAGGTAGTTATTTCTGAGTTCCCGTGAGCATTAGCAAACTGTACAAAAAATAAAACAAAGCAATAACACATGAAGGAGGATCAGTTTTTAATCAAATCTTCACGGCTTGTACAGTTGCAATTTACAACTGTTGTTACTTATAACACACTACATCATAGAGCGGTCTTCAACTGAGTGTCGTAAAACCAAGACTAAAGTAATCACTCGAGCCAATCACAAATGACACAGACAATTTAGTGAACTNGTGTATGGTAACTTATTGATATTCAGTAACGTCGTAACCTGGTAACCTGGAGGACAGTAATGTTTGATCACATGTACCTTGTGTTATGTCTTACCCTCAGCTGGACCCTTTGGAAACATCCCAGACAGACGCTGAAGACAAACTTGAAGGTGTGTGTCCCAGATCCGGAGAACCTGATTTATACACAAACGTACTTCTAAATACACAAGCCACATTGAAACAAGTCGACTTTCACTTAGTTGTTTCTACAATAACGATGAGAATCCTCGCGCACTCATTGGTGGAGAGCTATGGAGACCATAAAAGTAACATAGCTGGTAACGCAAAAGAAGACAATGTTTTGAAAACTTGAGAAATTGTTGCGACTTTTCCAGTAAACCGCCAAGTTGTTACAATAAGGACACTCCAACTATGAATACTTGATATTTTTTTTGAACAGTTATTTTGGTGACTAAAGAATGAAGGCTGTTCAGATCATGTACAAGATTAGCTTTTTTACAGGGTAAAAATGCTAAATGCTATTGTTAATATGAAGAGCCCTTATTCTTGATAGTCACAGAAGAAAGACACCAAAAATGTTAAATGTTCACGGTTCGAGGGTCCTCACTGTGAAAGTCAGTTGGGACATTTGAGACAAACGTCAGGAAGAACAAGTCGGCTTCAAAGAGAAAAAAAAGCGAATTTCACACTGTGTGCCACTTTTTTGTTCTTACAACATTTTGATGCTATCTGTAATCTATTACAGAACAGGTGTATGGCAAGGTAAAGAACGTGTTGATTTACGCTCCCTCATCAATGGCGTTACACAGACCAGCATCCAAGAGCTCTTTGAATTTTTTCTAATTTCATTGATACATATTTGCCACCTTAGAAAGGAGAAGACAGCTGAGGCGAGTCTCATGATCATCTCACAGTGCCTTGTGGGNCTGAAGTTTTTACGAGTTTTAGTTTTCAAGCTTTACTTCTCAACCGCGTTAATCCTCGGAGCAAAGACACTCTAGCATCAAAAGCACTAGACAAGGCCTTTTTCTAAATTTGAGTGAACAGCTTGAATTCACACGATAGGCTTTCGCAAGTGGAAGAACAAAATTATGAAGCTGAAATTAAAAAAGTCAATTTTCTTTGCAAACTCTTCTCCTGAAGCTATCGTTCATTTAGTTCAAAAGGCATTGCTTACTTGTAAAATAAAACAGAAACTGATTACACCCGTCGCTCTCCAGAATTTTGTGGCAACGCGCTAAAATTAGACCTGAGTGAATAAGCCAATCAAATGGGAGCATTGGTCGTCCGTCGGGATTTGTGATTGGCAGGCTGAACACCTCAGCCTCGTTATATCGGATCGCTCCGTGTTTAAATTGCGATAGTTGTATTTTCCAAACGGCCAAGAAGTCGACAAAACGTATTTACTTCAAGATGATTTTTAGCTCAGAGAAATGATCAAAGCGTAAATTACAAACTGTGTGAATTTGAATTCAAGGCAAGTTTCCTTCTTTCTGTAGTTGCCTGTTGAAAATGCGCAATTTTGCATAAATTCCATCGGCCATCTTGATTGATTGAGCGGTATTTCGAACTTTTCTAAATTTCACAAAAATGTGAACTCGCTGGAACTTTTGAAGTATATTTCTGAAATAGTTCACCAAAAGGGACTTTTGGATGCAATAAGAGAAAATTCGAATTTTCCTACCTATCGTCGGATTCTCCATATTTAGAGACAGTGGCTCTTAATTTTCAATGGCCGGCACTTATAGTGATCAGAAACAAAACAATCAGTACCTGTAGGTACATCATGTCTGACTAATTTTGCTTTTCCTTGGTTCTCTGAAGAAAGGTAAAAATGCTTACAATCATATAAGAGTGAATATATTTTCACCTTGTTTGCTGCCAGCAGGCTGGGATGGTCGGTCAAACAAGGCCATTGTTGCTGCTGAAAACAGCAGAGCGTTCACCTGACCATGACAATCTCCAAACACAAGAATTGCTTCATTCAATTTATTGGGGTTGCTCCTAACGAAAAAAGACATATTTAGCAGTTAGATTATTAGCTCGAGATTTCTATCGACAGTTAAGTGCCGCGCAACTATCACGCATAGAAATTGAGAGCGACTAATCTAATTGTTTTAGCATAAATCTACTAGTCATTCAGAACTTAAACACAATTATCTAAATCCTCGTCATAGATACTTCGAAAACGCGGCCGTCATTTTGTTTAAAACTGCACACTGCTATGCTACTCACTATCTACTACAGAATAGACAGAGAGTAGCGTAACCACCAAGAGAACGGCATTCGGGGTAGAACGCTAGTAGATTTATACCAAGTGTGATAAGTTTCTTTGTCAGCCATAACTGATAGTAGTTAAAGGAGCTACTGTGAGTCACACACGGCGCATCTTGAGACAACTGGCTAAATTCTCAAGTCTGTCATGCAGTCTCCTACTTCGAAATCTGTTGTAAATCTTCCTCCGTCGCAATTATCTTTTGCAATTTTAGTTTATGTTATTGCGGTATACTTTGAAGAGTCTGGCTGCATTTCAACGACCTTTGGTTTGTTAAAGTTTAAATTTTAATTTTAATTTTAATTTATACAGTATTGTTGTAAATTGCAATACTCCTTAAACATAATTAATTATTGCCCTATACTTTAAAGAGTCCTGCTGCATTTCAATTTATACAGTATTGTTGTCAATTTTGCAATACTGTTTAATAATTAAACTCAATTTTATTATTTAACAAAAAGTTCGTTTTGCGCCCTCCAGATTGGAAGTTGGGCTGGGGGCTCTCCTTTAAAAAAAAAAACATTATTACAGAAACCACAAAAAGAACTAATTCGAGTCTTGAGCACAGTCTCTTCAACGGAGAGATCATGACGCATGTGGGGCAACGCTGAGAGGACACCCTTGAGCCAAATAGGCCACTAGTGCACCTAAAAAACATCGTGAATACTGGAAACTGGAACGTACGCGCACTGTAAAGGAGTGAGAAAATTTTACAGGCTGAAAGAGAAATGACTAGTAGGGAGGGTACCTGAGGGTACCTGAGGAAATCGAGGACGACCAAAGACCACCTGGAGGCGTACAGTACAGAAAGAAAGGAATGGGAGAGGCTGGAAATCATGGACAGAAGTACAGAGTCCTGCCGCAGACACAAAAGAGGGTCGTCCTAGGGGGGGNAAAGCAAGTAAGGTACTCTTTTTAATAACCTGCTCTTACGCTAGAAAGAGAGTTTGAAGAAAGCAAAATCGTGAAAGGCCAAGGAAAGGTTCACTCTGGATGGACGACTCTAACCAGTCGTCTACTTCGAGTAGCAACTGCCCGAATAAACATGGGTCTTAAGTATCGGTCTTAGTATTAATCACGTAGAATAGAGTGATGAAATCACGAACATCACTTAATAATTCAAGTTCTTCACGGGTCACGCAAAACCTTTAAGTCACGGATCACGAAGAATAAACATGTTTTTTGAAACGGATTTCACTATAAAAGTTAATGTTAAAAAACGACCTTTCGACCGTTCGACGGTCATTTTCAAACCAAAGGAACATTAACCTCCAATTGTGAATCAACAAAACGTTGTTTAACATTACAAGTATGGTCTGTGTGATGCAGACTACGTCGGCTTCACGAGTCGACACCTATATCAACGTGTGGAGGAACATAAGCGATCAACAATCGGCAACCTCGTAAAGGATGAGCACGGAAAGGATCCGGAGACCATTGGAAGCAATTTCAAGATTTTGAAAAAATGTCAGAGTAAACTCCACTGTTTGATTTTTGAAATGTTTTTTATTCGTAAACTGAAACCAAAACTGAACAGAGTGACTCGATCCGTGTGAAGCTATTTACTTAATTATTTCACTTTTTATATCGTTTCTATCGTTTTAGGGTTTTCTTTATCAATCATGCCGCAATTTTCTTGCATTTTTTCTATGTAAATATTTTAGAGTTTTAGTCAGTTTCTCATTAGCATTCTCATAATCGATTGTATATATTTGAGCGCGTACAAAAATTTTACTGTCAACTTGAAAATGACCGTCGAACGGTCGAAACTGACGTCGTTTTTTAATGCTAACTATTATAGTGAATCACGAGGAATAGTTTCCTAAATTCACGCTTCACGGAAAATAAAATCAGCTAATCACGCATCACGAGAATACCCCTGTCAGACCCTCGGAGAAGAATGGAAGTGCTCTGTACAGGCTATATGTGACACCTAGCTACGAAACAGGTAGGTGAAGGTGATCAGAGCTGTAAGTTTGTCATTTCATTAAGATATAGACCTGCTGAATTTCAAGAATTTCAATTCGTTCTGTTATGTACAGCATCACTTCGTACTATTTTACCATGACGCCAGTGCTCGAAGCCACCTGGGAATGCGAAACGTTTGCACTCAAAATTTCTCCAATCCAATTTCATATTTGTTGCTTACTGACCAACGAAAGACAAAGAAATTCAAAATAAAAGTGATGAAAGCAACTGACTGGAGAGTCAAAGTGCTGACCTACAATCAGTGACAAAAGTCTTGAGACAAATTTGTGCTTTTGCGCACAAGCCAGACACGAATACTAATTCACCTGTCTCACCTTGTCCCTCGTCTTTTGTCCATCCTTTTGTCCACGATTGTAGGCCTGCACTCCCGGAAGTACGTTAGCAACGAGTTCCGAATCGAAAGTAGTTTCAAGGCCCGCCCGTCCTGACCATGGAGATGTGCCTTTAGCGTCTTCAGTAAATATGGTAGTCTCCTTCGCAGCCGATATTAGGGTCGTCACGTCACGGGGGAGAAGCGTTGCGTGACGACCCTAATAACGGCTGCGAAGGAGACTACAGTCGAACCTCGATTATCCGGACCTCGATTATCCGGACTATTCGATTATCCGGACTTTTTTCTATGGTCCCAATTTTTTCATGAATATTNTCATTAATATTCATGTTTTCGATTATCCGGACTCTCGATTATCCGGACTATTTACCAAGGTCCCGACGAGTCCGGATAATCGAGGTTCGACTGTACAAATATGGCTGATCATGAAGAGAATCCACGACAACTAGTAGGTAACCGCTGCTGCGATTTGCAGTGGATCGTGACTACAATAGAGGGATGGCTTAAGCTTGTTGAGGCAATCATGACCTTCATAACGTTCGTTACTGTGTCGAGTTTTCCTGGCAGCTCCAGAGCGGAATACGAGTACTTGATCTTCGTGGCGACTGCAGCGTTCATCTTTGTGATCTTGCACATCATCCTCCGCATAGTCCACGTGTTCGAGAAGCTCCCGGAAGTGCTCAGGCATCCAATCCTTGGTATGGGTGGGTGTTTTCTGGCCGCCCTAGCCTTACTCATCGGTTCTGCTGTAGTCTTTGCCAAGGGGAAACAATACTACCTTGACACGTTGGAAATTTCTGGGATCTGTGGTTTCATATCTACAGTTTTGTTCTTTTGTGAAGGTGTATATTTTTTCTTCCTCTATCGTCGATTACCAACACTTCGTCGTACAGAGGAAAACACGATGGTGGAGGGTGAAGCTGATGGGTTCGTACCACCTTTACATCTAGCGAACTGAGCTGGCTTTGAAATGAGATATTGTATCGGTAAGCTTTTTCGGTGTTCAATGTTTCAACAATGTTTTCCCTAAAGTGGAGGCTGCTAGTGGTGGATTTCTACCGAGCCGCCGTTTCGACGCCAACATTAGATAGCTTAAGTAAACCTCGACGGCAACAGGAACGAGAACGCCACCAAACAAAAGGTTTAACGAGTAGAACAATGGCTCGGTGCATCTGCGTTGTAAATATTTATACATTTCTGCGATCCTACGCAAAACAACGTGAAATGACTTAGTTCTGCGTATTTTGGAGAACACGAACGACAGCGACTAATTTTTCGTATTTTCATTTGGAACTGAACGCTGGCGTTACATATTTAGCTTGAGCAAGTTATAAGCCCGATAGGCGCACTGAAAAGATCTAGACAATAGCGAAATTCGAAGGTAAAATGTAAATTCATTTTTTACTAAGCGTTGTCCTCTGGGTCACCGTCGTCATTATATAAGTTTTCCAATTTCATTACTTGCCACCGATGTTGAGGGGAATAATTTTTTGGTAAATACCAAACCAGTAGGATAAAGGTACCCACAAAAATGCTACGAAAGGACTTCTAATTTGCGAATAAATTCGCGTGGAAAATGTGCAGCAGTGCAAGAAAAGTCACATGATTCATAAGGTGACCAACAAGAGAAATCAGAATGTCTTTGAAAAATCAGGATCAGCCTTCTACTGGTGTACACCAGGCCAAAGATTGCCAGCATGCTCAAACTTTGCGAGGTAAAGCCACCCTTGGTGAGCCAACGTGTCTGCAGTTTTAATCAGATACATATATAATATATATTTTCTTCTTTCTCGAAAATATTAGGTCAATAGAGCTACTCTGATAATTCGAGTTGAAATAAAGTGTATGTAGGTATGTATCAGATACACCTGCCGCCATCTACATCAAACTATCAATGAGCACAAGTCATCTGCCACTGGGAAGCATTTACTAGAGAAGTGTAACACTGGCATCACTGAATGGCCTTGCCAGCAAATTTTTAACCCAAAAGAGATGCAAAGGGAAGCTAAATTCTCTGATCTATGAGATGCTGTGTATTTGTTTGTTGTTTGTTTGTTTTTTATCTTAAGCTGGAAGGCGGTGGAAGCGTGATCTAGGATACTGAAACAGTCATTGGAGCATGACGTGCGGCGTTGCTGAGAATTTTGTAAGTGTTTGAAAATGTGAGAGGTCCTATCACTGAACATGTGCTCACGTACGCGCNGGACTGAAATAATCTTTTTACTCGCTATTATATCAAAGTCATGTAATGTTATAAGGTTTTTAAGAAATCCTTAAAGGATCAAAACATGAAGCATTCAAAGGATAATATAGTTACCCATTTGTAGCACTTTTTACTTACTACACCAAGTAAAACAAAATAGTGAAATAAACTTATGTCAAAGTTTAAAAGTAGATATTTGTGGTCCAAAAGTGTCTGTTTATAAAGGCTCAAAGCAAATCTTCATTGCAAGCAAGAAAAACAAAGCAAGTATGGTTACCCCCTTTTCGCACTTGATTAAGCTGCTGCAATGAGCAATCTGGCAGGTAGTTGCTAAAAAAAAATAATGGATATCAGTGTGCTATTTGGATCACCCTGATTATACCATTGATTTTCTGACTAGAAGCTATTGATTCCAAAACTTGCTTTTTCCTACCCAGATGATATTTAATCTAAAATGATATCCCAAATTTTTCATGTTTCTGGTACCGAAACTTGTTCACAACATTCATGATGAAGAGATGACCACATCTGCCAAAAAAAGAGCGGCCAAATATTTTTAAAAATTCTTGGAGCGGAATGACAGCACTTGCTACTGAAATGAAGCAAACCTTGTGAATACAAGCCACTTTTGTTTTTATTAATTTAGTGAAGATTGGGAAAATTTTACATGGTACACTTTTAGTTCGAAAAGTAGAGAACTTTTTATCCCTGTTTCCATAGAGGTTAGAGATTTACATAGTAGAGATTATCAGAGCAGCTTTTCATGTGTTGCTGTATAATTAAAGTACAGGACATACCAGTAATCCATACATAGAGGGGTGTGTTGAAGACCTTGTATCCTAAACTGGCAGTTAAACTCTGATTTGGAACTCAAGTCATATATAGCTGAAAAGAAAATCAAAACTGAACAAATAATATAATATAATTGTAAGTAGAACAGAAAGCTTGTTAAAAAATTCCAACAAGGGAGAGGATAACCAGTAACCCATTCACTTAAAGCCCAGAGGAGATGAATTTGGAACTACTGAACATGATTCTAGTGTGTAAGCTGGAGGGAAATTCGAACCCAGGACTGGATCTGGATTACAGTCTGGAGGGGGGTAGGGGGTACTCCAATAATAAGTTCTAGGGGTATGTGTCACATAGAAATAGGAAGAGAAATCATACAGTTTTGATCTAGAATGGGGTATAATTTACCAGAAAAGTGGCCAGTGACAGTCACGCAGCAAGTACAAAAGGACAAAAATTTGGCCTGGGAGTTGACAAATCAAGAACAAGGGACATCCCAGAACATCCTTGAAGACTGACCAGAACTCTTTTTTGCTCATTTCTTGATTTAATTACATATAATTATTTTTCTCATAATTACCTTTACATGTAGTTAATAATTTTTTAATGTGCCAGAATGTTCTGGGATGTTCCAGGATGTTCAGGACTTCATTGACAGCTCAAATAATTGGGAACTCATGGCAGAATTGTAAAAGAATGAAGGTTTAAATAAGTTATTTATCAAAATATAACCAGCAATATGATCATGTACCACATATACATCTACTTTACCTATTTCTTTACTAGTTAGAGCAAGTGCCAGTTTGTAGATATTTTGCATTGGTACAAAGTCTGTCACCCAGAGATCCCTTTGTTTAACTTCCTCTTGATCTGTTTGGACCTAGAACAACACATACACTGTAGTTAGGATTGCAACCATTATTTAAGTTTGAATTAAATGCAAGCCTAGGATCTTTTAAAATAATGTGACCCCTCAAGGAACTTACACTGTAGATGCTTAAGATGATTAAGCATGCTGATGATACACTTCTACTAAGCAATTAGATTGTTCGCTCTCGATTTCTATGCGTGATAGTTGACTTGGGCTGCGCCCTCACCAACTATCACGCATGTAAAATCAAGAGCAAATAATCTAATTGTTTTAGTATAAATCTACTTGTTGTTTAAAACTTTATCTAAATCCTCTTCACAGACACTTCAAAGATGCCAAGAAGGGGCTGTCATTTTATTAACAAGGGCACAATGCCACACTACTCACTATCTACATGTATCTCAGAATAGATAGTGAGTAGTGTAGCCAATCAGAGAACAGCATTTGTGATAGATCGCTACTAGATTTATACGAAATGAAAATATTTTAACCCCCTTAAGACATGTAAAGCAAACTAGTTAAGAGCTGCAAATTAGAGCAATGACAGACTGTACATTAGTATTTTTCCAGTAAATAGCCATACATGTAGCTGAAAAAGTGAAGCCTTGGAGCCAACTGGCTCATAGATGCCTGATCTTATCCCGGTTTCTGAAGCATGAAGCAGCTAGGAGTATTTCTACTCCCCCTGGATGGGAGGCTAGTCCACTGCAGGTCACTCCCCCACAATTTGTTAGGTTTCCCCAACAATTCGCCTGTACCCATCTATACTCCTGGGTGGAGAGAGGCACTGTGAGAGTTAAGTGTCTTGCCCAAGAACACAACATAGTGTCCCTGGCCAGGGCTCGAACCCAGACCACTTGATCCAAAGATGAGCGCACTAACCATGAGGCTCCCACGCCCCACAAAGAAGGGAATGGCAATCGCAACGAACAAAATTTTGCAAGGAAAGTAAGGACAGGGATGGGGGGAGGGGGTTCAAACCAAAAAAAACTCATCGGGAGGGGTATGGACATTTTCTGGAACAACACAATTAATTTTGCTGGTACTGTGAGAGCAAGACTTCTAATGCCCAACAACACATTATACAACGACCTCAGCATGTGAAGTTCCAACCCACACATACCAGAAACCAATAATGATACAATTGTATTTTATTTATCTGGAAGAACATTAAATTCTGAATCTTAATGTTTCCCTACCTGTACTGTTCTTATTGGTTTCATGTTTGATGACCAAAGAGAGATTATCCCTTCCTACAAAATTGAAATAAAACAATGACAAAAGATCTTAGATCAGTACAGTACATGCAAATTGAAGTAACGACAGCATTAAATATTAGCCAGGTAATTATAAGTTGTAGTGGCAACTGGCTAAGTGGTAGTCATCATGGGAGTTGTGCATGCTGGTGGTAGACTGGAAGAATGGCAGTGTTATTGCTAGTGGTTGTGGCCAGTGGTGATAATGGTAATGCCATCTGGAGGTTACAAGTCGACTGATCATTGAGCTGGTAGTGTTAGCAGTATACAGTACATGTATAAATATAGAGGTGGACTACTAATTGCAGATTTATTGACCAGTATATGTAGGATAGCAATGATTCAGTGCACTGCACATAGTGTTTGTGGTAGTGGTAGATTTGAGTTATTAGTAATACAGTTTTGATACCTTCAGCACTAGTGGCAGCCAAAATGGCAATGGCAGTTGTAGACTGATAGTGGTTAGGGTTGTCATGGGGTTAACATATTAAAATTATATTACCAGTACCAAAACCTCCCACTATCAACAAAACCACAACAGTGTTACCTCAAATGGAAGTGATACTACTAGAGGTAGTGGTACACTGTAAGTCTAGCCCTGGTAGTGATAGTGTTACAAAATAATGTAGTATCAGTGGGAGTCATTTATACTGTGGTGGTAGTGGAAGTGCTAGTGTTAGTACAGTGTCAGTGGCATTCAAATATACAGGTAGAGGTGGTGGTGATAGTGGTGGTGGTGGCATTGATAGTGGTAGTGGTAGTGTTAGGGATAGTGGTAGTGTCGGTGTTAGTGCGAGTCATAATGGTAGTGGCAGCTGTAGTAGTAGCACTAATGGCAGACTGGTAGTGGTAGTTTGTAATACAATACGAATTCCCCTTTAGTTAGAACTTCTGTGGGTAGACAGTAATATAGCTGCAGACTACAATGTAGCAGTGATAGTAATTAGCATATTTCATTTCAGAACAAGCAGTGAAGAGTGAAGTGATACTGGAAGTTACATATATATTATAAGCTGCTAACTAGTTACCTTACTAACTGCAATGTATCTTGATGGATTCATCAAAGGAGATATTCTAACAATGGCCTCTTTATGGGGGCTGAAATTTTAACACAGTCAAGAATTCCCCTTAACTTGGTCAACTTTTCAAATTTGTAACACATTAATATGTAAATTAGGTACATCTAATCTATAGAAATGACAGTGCAGCTCTCTGGGTGTATAATTATGTATTTGCTACATGTAAATGTAAATGTTAATGTATACACTTGTACATTATTGGGAAACAAGTGCTCGAGATACAGTATATGTTCAATTAGTATAGGTAATCAAATGATTTCGAGTGCAAATTTGGAATAAATAAGCACAAGTAAATATTTCTAAGACTACAAAAAATTGCACAAGCCTGTAGGGCGAGTGCAATTTGTAGTCTTTGAAAAATTTACGAGTGCTTATTTGTTCCAAATTGCATGAGAAAAATCATTTGATTACTTGTTAATAATATACAAGTGACAATTTCTGTCATGCTTCAGTATTTTACATGACAAATGAAGGGTCAAGCTACTTCAACTTTATTGGATGAAAATTTGACATGTGAATTCAAGCGCAAAAATTCATTCACTCTCTCCAAGTCATGTATAAAAACTGAGCACTTTCTTTTAACTGTGAAAAGCAGTCTTTTTTCACAGTTGAATTGAAGAACTTGACCCAAAAG